AGGCTGGGCATGGTGGCTCATACCTGTAATCTTAGCACTTTGGGAGGCCAAGGTGGGTGGATCGCTTGAGATCAGGAGTTGGAGACTAGCCTGGCCAACATGGTGAAACCTTGTCTCTACTAAAAATACAAAAAAAAAAAAAAAAAAAAAGAAAAAAAAGCTTGGCGTGGTGGCAGCTGTCTGTAATCCCAGCTATTTGGGAGACTGAGGCAGGAGAATCGCTTGAACTGGGGAGGTGGAAGTTGCAGTGAGCCAAGATCATGCCACTGCACTCCAGCCTGGGCAACAGAGCAAGGCTTTGTCTCAAAAAAAAAATAATAATAATAAACAATGTACAGTGAGAAGGCACTGGGAATATATTAGCTGTAAATTTTATACGGTGATTTAGAAAAAACACTTTTAGATTGGTTTCCTTGGTCAACAATACTTCTTGAGGGCTCATTGTGTAAAAAGCTTTCTATAGGGAGCTTTCTATAGGGAGCTGTGGTGAGAAGACAGAGAAATAAGGAACATGATCTCCGTGAAAGGCAACTGATCCATTTTCCCAAAACAGTGGATTAAACATGCACATTAACCTGATGTGGGCTGAATATGCATGAACTTGGGAGGGAAGATATAGGAGCCTTCCTTAGGTGTTTACCTGGTTCAGGAGATAGAATTTAGTATTCCTGAGTTCAAACCTCGGTTTTGCCTCCTTCTGCAGTGTAACCTGGAGTATATTTCTCTACTTCTTTGAGACTTGGTATTCTCATGTATAATAAGGAGATAATGATGATATCCTCGTAGAAGTATTGTAAAGGGCGTAGCATCATTTATGATTCAAGAATATATTTAGTCAATTTTAGTTTTTAAATATATGAATATGCAGAGTAATTTTAGATGTCAGTATACTTAACCCCAGACAAACACATGCAATAGCTCTTAAACTTTTAGATTAGGCACTTGTCAGTTTCTTATACCCTTTCCCTGCAATCACCTCATGATTTTTTGATTATCTGGCAAATGCACAAAAGGAAACCACATGTAGCTGCCATTTCACACCATTAAATACTCAGAAAGTCACCTTTGAGGAAAACCAGTACTTCTAAGAAAAAGCAAAGCCACAAAGTTCAAAAAAAGAAAGCTCTATGGTTGGCCAGTTGCCCGTCCTGAAGTCCCAAAAAGGTCTTGTGATTATTTGGTGAACTGACTATATTGCTGTGAAATCAGATTCCCTGAAATGCCTGCAAATAGAGAGATTGATGTGGTCAGAGGAAAGAGACCAGCTACAGTGGGTGGAGGATGGGCGGGGTGGAATGGAGTGCCCCCTGGGCCTGGGAAGTCTCATAGGCAGGTTGCAGATAGAGCCCCCAAGACCAGTTCTTCTGTGCATAGGGCAGGGTGAGCATCAGCCATCCAGTCTCCAAATACCTGTAGTGACACTGAGCCTGAGGCCTGCCAGTCTTATCCTAGAAACTTCCTATCTCTTCCTGTGTTTCTACCATTGACTAAACTTTGGGTCAGGATACTCTTCAGTTTATAAAATAATTTTCCAGATGAGAAAATTTCTATGACAACCAATCTGTTGAACATGCAAAATCTAAGTCCTTCATGGCTTGTTAAAATTTGATCAACTCATTTAAAAATGTTTAGTGTGTTTTCTTCTAGAAAGCCTTTTTCCCCCCTTAATCCTGTAAAACAGTGTAATCGCTTTGGCAAGGCAGTCATGTGGTGGAACTGGAAACATGGTGTGATGCAATGACATGAGTTCTAACAGGGGCCAGTAGATTCTGAGGTGGTCACACCCCTAGAGTCTGTGAGTGTATTAGTTCGTTTGCACGCTGCTGATAAACACATACCTGAGACTGGGCAATTTACAAAAGAAAGAGGTTTAATGGACTTTGAGTTCCACGTGGCTGGGAAAGCCTCACAGTCATGGCGTAGGTCAAGGAGGAGCAAGTCACATCTTACATGGATGGCAGCAGGCAAAAAGAGAGTTTGTGCAAGGGAACTCCTGTTTTTAAAACCATCAGATCTTCTGAGACTTATTCACTATCACGAGAACAGCACGGGGAAGACCCACTCCCATGATTCAGTTGTCTCCCAGTAGGTCCCTCCCATAACACATGGGAATTATGGGAGCTACAAGATGAAATTTGGGTGGGGACACAGAGCCAAACTGTATCAGTGAGTATTCAGAGGTTGTAACAGTGGCCCTTTTTATAGCTGGGTAGTGCTAGAATGCTTCTAAACAGTACAGATAGTTTAAAAAAAATTAACTCTTTGATCTAATGGAAAAAAGCATCCCAGTTGGAGTGTGGCGGGCACTATTTGCATGCTGTCCCTACCACAAGCTATGTGACCTATGATTTCTTTAAACTTGTTTCCTCATTTGAATAATGGTACCGATCCAGTCTTATAGGTTGTGTTGCAAACTGTTTAAATGCTTCACAAATATTTGGGTAGTTACCTGTATTGTATATTTACACTCCTATGATATTATTACATTGTAATTTTATTCTACATCTTTCAGCAAGCAACTCTATTCTCAAACTGTGGCACATCTAAGCCAATACATTTATAGAGGGGAAAAGCCTGTACTCCAGTGGCAAAAGTACTGATTTGAGGGCTGGAGAGCTCAAGTGTTTTTTTTCCTATTTTCTTTCTCTCTTTTTTCTTTTCTCTCCTTTTTTTTTTTTATTTTTTATTTTTTATTATTTTGAGACAGAGTCTCACTCTGTTGCTCAGGCAGGAAATGCAGTGGCATGGTCATGGCTCACTGTGGCCTCAACCTCCCAGGCTCAAGGGATCATCCATTTTAGCCCCCTGAGTAGCTGGGACTACAGGGGCGTGCCACAATGCGTGGCTGAGTTTTGTGTTTTTTTGTAGCGACGGGGTTTTGCCATGTTACCCAGTCTGATCTTGAACTCCTGGGTTCAAGTAATCTGCCTGCCTTGGCCTCTCAAAGTGCTGGGATTACAGGTGTGAGCCGTTGTGCCTGGCCTCTCCTATTTTCTTTTCTTTTTTTTTTTGAGACAGAGTCTCGCTTGGTTGCCCAGGCTGGAGTGCAGTGGCCGGATCTCAGCTCTGCAAGCTCCGCCTCCAGGGTTTACGCCATTCTCCTGCCTCAGCCTCCCGAGTAGCTGGGACGACAGGCGCCCGCCACCTCGCCCGGCTAGTTTTTTGTATTTTTTAGTGGAGACGGGGTTTCACCGTGTTAGCCAGGATGGTCTTGATCTCCTGACCTCGTGATCCGTCCGTCTCGGACTCCCAAAGTGCTGGGACTACAGGCTTGAGCCACCGCGCCCGGCCTCCTATTTTCTATTGAATATGAAGAGCTATAATCAAGTTTTGAAAAAGATGAAGTATCCACGGGAAAAGAGGGATGCTGGAAGCTGCATATGCATTGAGTTTTATTTTTGTTGCATCTCAGATGTTAGGATCCTACTGTATGACATTTACAAGATTTCTGTTTGTTAATTGTTGCAATGTTGATGTGCCCTTCACTTTGAGAGTGAAGCGGATAGACCCTGCAGGTGTTGAGGTTTCTCCTTCCTGTCCTGCTCCCTGTATATAGGCTTCCACTGCAGCAGGGCTATGGTAACAGCGGCATGGGGAGCTATGAAGGGGGGATCTGAGACTGCAGTCAAAGCTCATGTAGGAATGTCTGGCAGTGGCGTTCTACCTGGGAATGAAGTGCTGCTGGAAATACTTTATGATACCCACAGCCTTGTACAATCAGGAACCTTAGAAATACGCAGAAATGGGCTGTGGCTTGAGCTACTGGGTCCTGATTGAGGAAATCAGTTAGTACAAGAACATATGTCCTAGAGAAGCTCAGGCTGTCTCATGAGACCTTCATGGCCTATTATCTCTCTCTTTTTTTCTCTCCTTGTCTTCTTTGTCTGTTTCTGTCTTTTTTCTTTTTCTTTTTTTTTTTTTTTT